TTTGCCGTATTAAAAATTACTAAGTGTTTCATTACTGCTTTACATACTCTTCAATTAACATATGCATGCGATTCTATTATATGTTATTGTTATAGTGGATTTTCACGCTTTCAATGCTTGAACATTGTTCCAGTGGTATATGGATTATGTATGAGATTTTTCATTATTTATGGCATGTTTTAGTTCGTTCATCTAAAACTTTTCATGAAAAAGCAATCTACATCCCATGGTACTCTACTTGATAATGGAAAAGAACAATCAATTTCATCCACGAAGCTCAGCTTTTCCTCTTTATGTTGGAAAAACGGCATATTTTGCCTATATATGTCAGCTGTTTTTTTTGGGCCGTTTTTTCACTAGTCAATGATCATTGTTTCTCATTCTATTTTCACTATTTGTCAAGCATACTGAAAAACAGCGATGTGAATATACAGATTTTCATCGCTTTTTCATCGTTTACAACTGTTTACATTGCTGTTTTCTTCGACCAGGCTTGAAGTCAATACATATGTTTGATTTTCCTTATTGAGAATAATAACACTTCAGTACATTCATATTGTAACAGGTACAACCTCAACATGCTCTAAAAGTGCATACTTTTTTGAAAAATCGCAATAAACTTAGATGTTAGAAGAGACAAAGCTGCAGACAAAACTTGGTACAAAAATTATTATATTGTTCTGTCGTAGAAACGCTAACGACCGCAGTTATGCAACCATCAAGAATATTTATTTCTTTATTTCTAGAGTTTTTCACATTGCGTTGAGACACATGAAATTCAAAATCTATAAATATTATCAAAATATGTTCTAATATTGGTTGAAAATCTGGCGCACATAACATTGTTTTCAGAAGAATTTCGACAACTTTTTGGAAAAACTTCATTTATTTCTTTATATAACGAACTATATAGGAAGTTCTTGAGTTTAACACTGAATTCTAGCTGCAGCCCAAATTTCAGATCATTATGGTGAGTGTTGACGAATTAAGATCGATATCAGGAAACCTTGTAAATGTCGATGGTTGTATACTCCGACCCTAGATTGATATTACAATATTCTTCCTAGTCTAACTGACTTATGACATCTGCGGCTATAGTAAAAAATTTGTGGTTAAAATCCTATGAATGATATCTTTTTTCTTCATTTCGTCCATTTATATATTCTCCTACGTTACATCACTCAATGTCTTACATATCACACTTATAGCCGTAATAATAGTTATAATCGGTAACAGTAAAGGGACTACCCGATCCAACTGCGTACAGGACTCGTTATCAGCTGTTATTCCTACCGGTATATGCAGCTTTTTTACTATCTTCCGACATGAAATTATCCTAAAACCTGTTGCACATTTTTCCTCTGATCTGAAAATAGAGCATAAAAGTGTTTTTGAAAATCCAACAGTTTTTACTAATCTCGAAGATTTTTGCCTGGTAGAATATGCACCAGACTCTTCTAATTAATTAAAATCCATCATAATTTACTTATCATATTTTATGAAGTGACTGCAATATCAAGTTATATAATCGAAACAAACTGAATAATTTTTTAGTATTGAATGCAGGGCTGGGAAAAACTACTCGAAGTATTCACGCTCTCACTCAAAAGTTTAGCAAACCGTATAAGCAGTTGAATATTGAGTACTCTATAATATGAGAACAGGTAAGGCCGTTTGTCCGCCTCGAAAATATTAGTGTTTTTTTAAAACTAATTCAGCAGTGACTTGCGATAGCATCACAATCATTTATTTTAGAACGCTTTTCGATCAAAGTTTGAAGTCACATACGTACCCCCTAGAAAGATGGCCAAGTTTTTCTTTTTATCTTCGTAGAGTACAATTAAGAATTGAAAAACTGATGAAGATACGCTGCGAAATAAAATTGTAATGTTATCGGATGTCACTCCTCAACAGATATCAACTCAAAAAACAAATGAAAAATTCTGAAACCACAAAAAATCGCCTTCTCGGCTCTCGTTTTCTTAGATAAGATATCTTGTAATAAAGTAGTGTCAGATATCAATGTTTGCCTTTCGACAAAGAAGCAAGTAGCTGATTCTTTCTACACTTCATCTTCTGTAGAATTCCAGCCATGTTTACTACAAAATCATGTTGTAACAGCGTTGAACATACAATTCGATGGATTCATATTCGAAATTTTTCTACTTGAATGCAATTTTTGCTGCATTAATACTCATACTCGAGAATTTATGTACTTTTGTGGAACTCACATGTATTTTCGAAGAAAATAGTGAGTGTAAGTTTTAAGTTCGAGGTTTCGCGGCTCCCCTCACCCCTCGCCCCTTCCCTTACAGACAGGTCCCCATTACAGCCCATAGCAACTTCATAAAAAAAATTCTGCTCGTAGTATATAAATAAAAAAAGAGGACATTTGCTGACAATCAATTACCATTAGAAAAGAATTATCGTCTTTGAGAGAATTTAAACATTATATATTTTGCCATCAGCACAGTGAAAGTAAGGAAAATAGGTGAGTTCCACATTTCAGCCTCAAAGGGGCTGCGCTAACCAGCTTTCTTAGCTCTATTGCATTCCAGTTTATCATAGAGGGTGTGGGTGTGGGTGAGGGTAAGGATGTGGGTGTGTGGCTGTGGCTGTGGGCGTGGGTATGTGTGGCTGTGGCTGTGGCTGTGGCTGTGCGCGAGGGTGTGGGTGAGTGTATATGTCTTGTCTTCACCCACACCGATACCCACCCACGCACACCCACCCCCACACTCACACTCCACACCCCACCCACACCCCACCCACACCGATACCCACCCACGCACACCCACACTCATCCCACACCCCATCCAGACCCACACCCACACTCACACCCACACCCATCCACACCCACACTCACACCCACACCCATCCACACCCACACACCCACACCCACACCCACCCTAACAATATCCATAGAAAATAAATATACTAAGATCGATTCGATTTCGGTAAACTCCGAAGAAGCATATGGTCAAAATTATAACGAAATGATTCGAGAAAGAAAAAATGCGCCATATACTTAATATTTATCTATCAATTTAGTATAGTTTTGTATTTATTACTAAGTACTGAAGATGACCGACAAAGCAGTCGTTTCCAACAGACAACTGGTCGAAAATACTACAGATATAGAAAACTATATTTGAAATATAAAAAATAAAAATAAAAAAAACATCGAAAAATGAAAGAATAAAATTATCATTTGAACTGCATTTCTCTTATTTCTTCCTACACATATGTCGTATTTTGTTTTTTCGAGTCATTGTATCGTAATTTTGAATACGAGGCTCATTTGACTTTCCTTTTTTCTTGTGCAGTGAATGTGTTAGTCAAATGTTGATAAGAACGAAGTCAATATGTGCGTTGAAGAGAAGGCGGAGAAAGCAAGTTCTTATCAGTTTATTGATTTTCTGTATCATTCTCATAAAGTGAAACAGAAGAAATAAAAAACAAATTTTGACCACTATTAGGTAAATCCATGTAAAATCTGCCACGTTATATGAACGTTCCGGCTTCGGATGCGACAACACAAATTTCGCAGAGCACTTTAAGATACTGAATCCAATTGCCAGAATCTCAGATCTCTATCTAGCGCATGGAAGTCGAGTATATACCACGAATTCTATCGACAATGGAACATTCTTTTACTGTTTCGTTCAAGTCATTAACCAGACGCATGGGAAAGTTAATATTTTACAATTTCACTTTTTCAACATTATTCAGATTCTGCTCAAATGCAAACAATGTTTCTATTCAACCAGTGAGATGTTCAGTTGAATAGTATATGCCAGGGTATGCATGATGCCTCTTATATGTGATGCGACACAGCTTCAACCAAAAGATCTGTCACTACTCTCTCATATGCGTATAACAGAATAAGTCAGGACAAAAACGCGTGAGAAAACAGTTCTCCCACAAGAAAAGAACAGAGAAAAGTGGAACACGGAAATTCCTCGGACGGACAAAGTTTCTAAAACTCACATTGTGTCCTCTTGTGGAAACTCGTGGTGCCAGATTTGTCAAAGGCTTCTTCGAAAATGATATTTGCGATAGATTTTTGTCTTTCTTTAATCGTTCTTTCTCATAAAAATATGCTAGTGTTAACTCAAGAGGGAACGTTATCAACTGACAAACCGCTTTTAACCTGCAACTTAATGAGACCTATTATCGGAATTTTAAAAAAAGACCATCGGGAAAAATGCTTATAACTTTTGAGCGAAGATAGCTAGAGCTCTGCAGTTTTCACCATTCGAAAACGGAGTGGGTGTGGACGTGGTATGGGTGTGTGAAGATAATAGTAACAGAGACTCATACCCACACCCACATACAGGAAATATCTCAAAACATGGTGATATTTCTTGAGATCTAAATCCAGCAAATTAGTATATATCGATACATCGCGAAGTTATCGATGTAGATTTCCATGTAGGTGGGTGTCAGTGAGACGAACATAATATCCTCACTAATCACTTACAGCGCCACCCTCAACCTCACCTACGTCTCCTAGACCATTCAGTCACATCCTTTATCCAAGCTCATTCTCACCTTCATCTTCATTCTCCGTCTCATTTTCATCCGTAGTCTCATCTATATCTTCAATAAAATATTAGATAGATGCGGATAGAAGCCAGTGATCAAAAGTATGATTTTCTGCTGATCATTCCTATAAACGGTTATCTAGTGATAAAACTATCTTTATTCAGTCATCATCGAGATCAAGAGCCATGCGGTGATCAAAAATATTTTTTCCGTGTTTTTATATAAATATCCATATTTCGTTGAAAATGATGTCTTTGATTAGTCTTCTTCTCGTTCACACTGATGAATAATCAAGTGGTTTCTAACACTATAAATCAGATAAGATGCCTTTAATGTAAAGATCCAATTTATTCTCTATATTTAAATGTCTTGTACTATATAAATATTTTTATTTAAAAGAAAAATCCATTTATTTTACAGATTTCATGTTCCAAAACATGATCTTATTGATTTCTTTATAAACACTGTTTCTTCATAACTGTATGCAAAACAATATTCTTTCTTTTAATATACGAATAATCTATTTTATATGAATAACAAATCATAACAATCAACATATTTTTGCAAAAGCAAAAATAATCGTGTACAGATTGAAAATCATATTCCACTTTTCGATATAAATACATCTTATTGATTTCACCACAATTAATTCGTGTATCATCTTTTTTAAAATTATGTGCTATTCTTTCTAATGATTTAAAATTAACTTCAAGAAAAATATCATTTTGTAAACATGTTTTCATATCAGAGAGAAATTCTTCGATATAATCATCATGAACATGTTGAATATCAAGTTCAGTAAGATAAAAATGTCTAATAATTGATAACTTCTGATTATCATCGATTGATTTATTAGATTGTTTGCGATTTTGTGCATGAAGACTAACCAAAGGTAGCTTATGCATGAATGGAAATGATCGGGAGATTCGAAGAAAAAATTCATGTTCAAAAGGATGTTCATCATATAATGATACTACACAAACATATGAATATAATCCACCTAAAAAATTATTTGATATATATCCATAATGCTGCATTAGAAATGGATATGAATAAACATGGCATTGTTCTTCTTTTTCCTCAAGAAAATAATCAACACGAGATATTATTTTCGTATATCAAAAATCTCTGAATATTTGCTGAATGTATTCTTATGATAGAAAACTCATTTGATTATTGATAAACATAACCGAATGAATATTAAATATAAAGTGAGTTAATTGTGACATACGATTAAGAATATTTTCCATTAAATTATTTCCATCAATAAATATTTGATCCACATAGATCGTAAGATTCAAACCAAGTTTTTCTAAATTTGACATTCGATAGACAAGAGGCAGAATTAATTCATTGTAATACCATGATCTCCAAGCACATGATAGAAAAAAAAATTTGAGATTTTGTATTTTTACCAAGAGCACCAAAAACAATATTTTCTGGAAGATAAATTTTAGTCAAATCAATATAGAGTGTACGAAATTGACTGAAACGACCATCAATAATATAAAGACATATATCAAACGTTTGGACTTTGATATATAATACTAAAAGAGTTGAAGAAGAAAAACGAGGAGATACAAAACTCAATATTAATCGAACGGTGTTATTATATGATGTATCACAAAAATATTAAATGAATTAAATTGCTAAACACAGTGAAGATACGATTGCATATATTTTCTATTGTCGACAGATAATTTTGATTTGGATCAATTTCAATAACAAGTATTGTAATTTGGTTTTTAAAAAGATCAGATGAAAGACTTTTGTCTAAACACATAAATAGTATGATTAAGCAACAACAATGAACACCCCAAATAGTCAAAAGACCAAGATAACTTTTGATAGAAAGAAATTATTCATAGGAATAATCTCATCTTCGCACCAGCGGTTTTGCTCTAAATATAGTCTATAATCAATTTAATACAAAGGATGAACATTTTTGGAAATAATGTTCTATACTCGTTAAGAGTATTCTTTGTTTTTTTTCTTCTTTATATTAACTTATACACATGATTCTTTTTTTTGTATTACAACTTGGTAGTCAAATATCCATTAGAAATCAAAGTTATTTAATATACTCAATGGTCTTGTCAAGTGTGTTAACAATTTTATCAAAGTATTTGTGATAGTTTAATTAATCTTTCATTAACTGAGACTTGAAATATTTGTATTAAAATTAACTCATCGATAAAAAGACGTCTAGCTGTCCCTTTTCTAATATTATATAAACCGAGCCCATATAAATTAGGATAGTCGGCAGCACGTATAATATTTGTCATAGATGATGATTCAAGATCAAACTATTTGATTTTCATAGAAATTTCAGGTAGAATTTGTTAACAAAATCGATTAAGTATGACACTAGAAGAAAAGTTATTGATGAGTTTATTAGACGACCATTTGAGGAAGTTCAAAAGACTGGTAAATATTGGATCATGTAGAATTCTATTCAGTTGATCATTGACGACTTGAACAGAATAAAGTACTTCAATGTTTTTCAGTTTTTTGAACATCATTAGAAGATTTTCATCCAATAAATCAATCAATTCGACACATGAAGATCTCATATTTATTTTCACTTATTGATTCGTTTTACCTTGGAGAAAAGGTCAATACTTATTAATATGTATATGCCCATCTTTTCTAGTTCACCGACATCATCAAGAAGAACAATACTAAGGCATTTTCAACAGTTTCAATTGTCATTGATTCAATGAATTTATAATTGAAAGACTGTTGCCATTTCTCTTTTCTCATTTGTTTCTTATCTCATGTGATACCGATGAACATAGTTTTCGATTTATTTTTATGTAATGATCTGTTCTTCGGTTTTCTCCTTTAAATTTCTTCTCAATATTATGACTTGGAACATTTAAGGGTGTGAGTGTAGGTGTGGTGTGGGTGTGGGGTACGGCTGGTTACTCTTCTGGGTTCATCACCCACACCCACATCCACACCCCGAAATGTAATCGACGTTTAGGAAAAAAAATAACAATAAGATTGCCAATTGTTTCTAATAAACATAGATCTTTTTTCAAACACTTATAAAAACTACTATAAGTGATGAAAAGTCAATCTTAGAGTTGTTCACTTGAATGCACAGCTAAGAAGTGCACGATATTGTAACAAGAGCTGCTGTACACTATTTAGGCAGAAAAATACATAGCAAAATTCAAAAAAACAAGTTTAAATTGTTTGTTTCTTTTTAAATATTGCAAAACATCAACTAACTATTGAGCAATTTTTTCTGTTGTTTATTTTGCATCTCTTTCTATTCAATCATAATTTACTTTAATGTTTACACTTTCTAGACCAAAACAATCGCATTACTTGCACTCTGTTTATCTAACAAAATAATGATATAATAATATAAATGATGATGTGATCATGGCTGCGCCATCTATTGCCAGCACTTTTTGAAGTTCCATACCACTTCTTACTGATGAGATGAAATGCAAACGGCCCCTTATAGATTTTAACCAAATTTAGAAAAATCAACTCCAGCTAAGACTGCCTTCGTTTTTTTAATATCGACGTTGCTCTACTCTTGTTTGTCGGTATAATAACGGGAACAACAGACCAATAGATGTGCTGATAAAAGTAGTAATGAACGTACAAGAATGAACAGAAAATAATCGTATATAATTATTCAATGTTTAAATGAAATACATCTGATTATGCTGACAAATAGTGTTACGTCTATCCTCATAAGATATTTTGAACATGACTATCATTTTAAAGAATAAGAAATAAAATTCAATAGTTCCAATTTTTACAGATACTAATTTCAGATATTCACATGTCTAAAATGACTATTGTTCATACAACGAAAAATATAGTGTTACACGTGTATTTGTGCTCGAAATATACATACGGGATTATGTTACTTGTAAATGAACAAATAAAAAATCCTTCTGAAAATAATCTATAAATACTAACTTTTAAAAATAAATAACAATGAAATACATGTATTCTAGTTCAATCTATCACACATGTTAATTATAAATTAAAATAATTAGTATCTCAACTTATTTAAATTTACTCAACGAATCAAAATGTTAACCGAGTTAAAATGGTTGATTGTTATAACTCAAAAGTTATAATTTGATCAGTTTTAACTCCCACATTATTCGGTATGTTCTCACGGTTTCTCGCATCATATAGCGTCTTCTCATCTCTTTTGAATGGTATGTATAGAAAAACAATTGATGTAAGAATAAAAATAGAGCAATCGAAAAAAGAGCTACATAAGAGCACATCGTACTGAATCTTAAAATCCGCTGATTTCACGACAAAAAATTTTCCGAAATGATAGTTCGGTAAGCTGATATTAACAGAAAAGTAACAGTAAACTGAAGATTATCTACTGATGTTATCGTAATGTTTTTAGCAGCTCGTACTGAAACGCAATAATCCTCACAAAAATATATTGAAGTTGATTGATCAACGTTTTCATCTTTTGAATACGCGTATACATAATTTGTACAAATTTAGATGTAGACTGTATGCAGTAAATTTTTTTTCGATAAATTCAAGTTCAACGCTGCCAATATTATGACTGACACGAAATGAGAGAAAAGAAAATCTGTTATCACTATCTTGCTCCTAATCACCTTTTCTTTCCTTCACGAAATTACGACATAAAACATTTATATTCAAGCTGTTGCGAACGCAAGAATATACATTAATGCGCAATTTCGTATAGATTGTAAGAAGTCTAGAACCAATAACTCATGCTGGCTAAAGCAGATTTGACAATTACTTATGCACTTTGATTGCAAATATTAGACAATCAATTGTTTAGGATGATAATATATCAAAAAGTTAAGAATTTCATTCTAATTATAAAATTCTATCTCTAACTTGAGGCAAATATTTCAGAGATCTGTTCGAAGCAAATTACTTTTCAATCATATAGGCTTCTACATTTTTTCTGAATTATTAGTTCCATTATTCCATTCTAGTTCCATAGTTACTAAGGAAACAACCTTCTCACTAATGATTAACTAAACAACAAAAGCATTTGCTCCAAACAAGGTTAGTGTTAAGTTGTTTGTTATCTTATACTAATATAGGATAAATTAAAATTCTTTTGATTTTTTCATTGCCCAAGTTTTATCTGTAGATGGCGATAGTGACATGTGCATTTGATAGTGATAGGCCAAATGAAACGACCTTTCTCTGACAGATAATATACAAAGAGAGAAAAACAAGTTCACTAAGGGTACATCATATTTGCAATAGACTTTCTTTTTTTTTCTCTTTTCTATCCTGACATTTTCGACTCAAATCATTAGAAAAGTATACACAACACGAAGTGCACGTCATTTTCGATACAAAAAAGTCCATTAGAAAAAGAATCAAAATTGGTACTTCTATACGATAAATTTATACTGTATAAACTTGTCGCAAAGCTCATCGTGTAAAATTTGCCTTAGCAAATCTACTGAATAGAATCTGTTTGTCTTTTGATTTTGAAAAATTTCTCTTTATATTCTTATTTTATCATATATTTCAGATTTCTAACACAAAGAGCTGATTCTTTTGTCATACTTATTTATAGATTAAATATCATCTATTTCACTCGCTTTATTTTCAATACAAATTAGAATAAAAAAAAAGATGCGTGAAATTGTTCATATGCAAGCTGGTCAATGTGGTAATCAGATTGGTTCCAAAGTTAGTTGATATATATATTTTTCAAATTGAAGACCTTTTTTTTTTTTATAAAATCTCGATGTGTTTTCTAGTTTTGGGAAGTGATTTCGGACGAACATGGTATTGATCCCACAGGTACATATCATGGCGATTCAGACCTTCAACTTGAACGTATCAATGTCTACTATAATGAAGCAGCTGGTGAGTAGAGAATACGAACAAAGAACGTATCTATATTCTTTCTCTCTTGTTTTCAGGTGGCAAATATGTACCACGTGCAGTTCTTGTTGATCTCGAACCAGGTACAATGGATTCAGTTCGCAGTGGTGCATTTGGTCAACTCTTTCGTCCAGATAATTTTGTTTTTGGTAAA